GCCAGACGCGGTGACCTCCAAACAGGGAAGTTTTATGCGGGCCACCTCTGACCTCCACGTCTCTGCATTTATGCCTGTGAAAATAGAGAAATTATGACACTTAGCGCTGCCACCTAAAACGTGTCTGGGTCCGGACGCCTGAAGACTGGGGGCATTGAGAGCTCGGGTTAGATCTTGACACCTCTCAATCGGCTTTAATGGAGGCCAGTTGTAGCGCACTGACAGGCCATCAAAATAAGGAATGAGATCGGTGATTGGTTCAGAAGGGCACAAGTGATGGTTGAAAGGCAAGACGGAGAGGACATGGGTGGGAAATAAATTATATCTTGTACTTTAATGGACACATGTTATGTAAAATGGTCTTGTGTTGACTTTCTACACCATATTACTACAACGAAACGTACCAGGAGTGTTTTTTCCACACACACGAACAAAAATCCTGTTATTTTCATACGTATTATATTTAACAAATCTTCACAAAATGGCGATGTACATTGGTTTTGGAAATGTCTCCAATTAAAGCTGGCGTACGTAACTTCCAAACTACAAAAAATAAACTATGTCTATCCCATTGGTTCCTCGCTCTCAAAACAGTTTTAACAGTGAAGGAACAAAAGTGAAAAAGAGAGGACCGCTTATCTCAAAATGTCAAATTGTGACTCACAGGGCTCATCCCAACGGTCATTCTCACTACTATCACGATAGATATCTGCGTTTTACCCATGAATAAACGTTACTGATTTTTATTGATTTTGTTTCTTTTTGGCAATTTTCATTTTAACATTCTGAAATATGGTTCAGAGACAAAAATAATTCACAAATATGCATCATATTTAGTTACTTAAAAATGGATATTCAAAATCTCTGATACAAAAATGTGTAAAATATGCAAATTATGCAAAAAAAAAAAAGTGTTATTACTGTCACGGTTCGTCTTAAGTGTCATTCTAAACCGCCTTCATCTTCAGTCATAGTTCGCCCCCTACTGGCCAAGCCTCAAAGTGCACTCAACAAGTATCCAATGTGACATTTAAGTGACTTTACTCACAAAGTGCTAGAGCCTCCAGCTTTAAGGCACCATCAACTTTAATAATGTTGTTGCATGGGCTTTTTGTATTGAGCTGGGTTAGACAGATGCGGAATAATCACTTTCTAATTATTAAAATTCTTTCCAGATGCTGCTTTGTAATGGCAGATGGTGTCACGGTACAATGAGTAAATGTATAAAACTAGGAGAATAAAGGATTAAGTTAATGAAATAAACACAAACAAATCAGCAGTTGGAAAAGTGGGGTACTTTTCTGAGTCTAACCACACAAAAGGTCTTTATGTCATGGCACAGGAGCAGATGTACTGATTAACTGTTTTACTGGGCACTATTTACACACTATACCAACCACCAAGAATGGATTATATAATGTAGATAGCTTTGGTTTGTATGTATTTGCTGCCTTATATTATATACTGTGCGTTCTGCAGTGATGCGGTGGTGAAGAGGGAGCAGCGTCTGCAGTCAGAGCTGTATGGTACTGTTGTGGTGAAGAGAAAGCTGAGTCAAAACTCTCAATATATCGGGCAATGTACATTTCCACCTTTACCTATGGTCACAAGCTTTTAGTAATGACGGAATGATGGCAAATGTCGTGGCTGGGCGCTCCCCTGTAGATGGAGTGAGAATCTCAGTGACACAGGAAGAGCTTGGAGTAGAGCCGTTGTTCTTCTACTTCATGAGGAGCCATGTTGAGGTGGCTCAGGCATCTGTTTTGGATACCTCCTGTTCCGGGTATGTCCCCCCCCATACACCCAGCAGAAGACCCAGGGACTTTTCACACTGCAGACCCAGGACCAAATGGCATAACAACACAGGGCTCACATTGTAAAATCTCTGCACTTTTTTTGGACCGTGACGAGGAAGACAAGAATGTGTCAAAATAAGTCTGAAGTCCTCAAGTGTTCACACTGAGCACGCCTCTGCAAAATGTGTAGGGCACAATGCGGGTCAGCTGCTGAGTGGTTCTGACACGCCAGCTTGTGTTGTTCAGTCTGAAGAACAGGCGTCCCGGGAGTTTTGGCTGAAAAACTCTTTTTGACGGGGGAGAATATGGACGCATTTTACAGACGTCATTCTCTTTGACCCAGTTAAGACGGCACTACACCATTACTGATCCGAAATGACGACAAATCATGAAAACATCCTAAAACACAAGTCCCCTTTGGTTTGATTGCCCCTCCGAATATTTTTACAAGCATATTTTTGGATTAGAATTCAGCCAGTGGTGTTCCATGTAAAAATTGGGACATTTATCCAAACGTGTGTTGCTTATAAAATGTATTTCCATATTGTAATGATTTCTCTCTTTTCTTCTTCTAAATAAAAATGTAGAAGCCCATTTGAGAAGGAACCGATTACGAACAGGTTTGGTGGTTCATTAACAGGACATAAGCCTGGACATAGACACACACACACACACACACACACACACACACACACACACACATACACACATACACACACACACAATTAGTCAGGTACATTTTTCACTTTCTGTCACGCCATGTCAGAAGCGATGTTAAATCCCGTCTCCTTTCAGATTTCCTTTCTAAAGCAGGTCATCGGAGGCCAGTCTTGGTGATTCCAGTGATAGGGGATTTGCATGTCACTCAGACGGGGACTGACTTTGCCCGGGAGCTGTGTCCAGAGACGGAGCCATTAGCGGCTTTAACAGGAGGACTATCAGACGCAGAGGGCCCGATGAATATGCAAATCACTACATTTAGGAAACGAATGGCATTTGTGATAAGAATAACTGCTTTTTTGAGCAATGGCAAACTGTTCATTAGGGCCTTATTTAGATTTATGTGTTTTATGGAATTTTAAGCTTAACATTGTAGGACATTTGATGTATGTATTGCAAGTGATGGTAGAGAGGTGTAGGGTCAGAGAGTGTATACTAAAAAAAGAGACTGCTGTTTTGTGATTTTTCGTTTTTGAGTCCTGTTTATTGTTTGTAATTCTTGAAAAAAAAATTACTTACTACTACGATTTGGAACATATGGTATAAGTGAAAATATTAACGGAGGAGGACATTTCTTGCTTGAGCGGCAAACAACATACATTAGATAGAAACAGTTTTGGATTGGATTTGGAGATGTGGGTGTTATCGTTTGAATAAACTCATTTCCATTGTTAATTCTTGTCATAATCTTTTTAAATTTCACAAATACATCATGATTAGAATGATACAAATGCTTCTGTGCGATCCGACAATATCTAAGTCAAAAAAAATCTTTCCAGGGTTTATTAATCTGCATACATTATTACACACAAAGTAACATACAGTATGTCAACTTTTGCTATAATTTTGATAATCATGGTTTACGTTGAATTAAAAAAAATATATATAGAGACATTTTGGGGTTATTTGGGTTTTTCACAAGCTATGTGCCAATTTTCAACATATTAACAAATATAAATGTTAAATGATATATTTCACTTTGTGTGTAAAGAGTCTGTCACATATTAGTCTCACATTGTAAGTTATAGAAGTAAACAGACTTTTGAACAATATTCTAATCTGTGTTACATTGTAAAAAACAAAACAAAAAACTGGGGATCATTGAATCACCTTCATATTGTGAAAATCAAACATCTGCCCACTTCTTACGTTGTCAAAAACCATCTTGCACTTTGTCTACCGTTGCAAAGACCCACACCAGGGAGCAAAAGGTCGAAGAAAAAGGTCCCCAAGTCCACTCTCACTTTTTGGGCTCTGATTTTCCGCCTCTTGGCCCCCTGTGGCTCTGTGCTCCAGGAAAAGGGGACCCATACCTGCCTGGACAAAAGAGCACCTCATAAAGAAAAGCTAATCCTATACCGCTACAATGAGGAGAGCTTTGTCTTTTTAAGAATAAGTAAGTATTAACTTCAACCAATATCCTGGCACCCGACTAAATCAAATTAGCCCAATAGGTTTTATCTGTAGAAATGGGACGTCTTACTCCCTCTGCTTGTTCTTTGTCGGAGAAGCAGCAAAAGCGCATAGGGTCTTGATCTTCAACCTCCCTGGGTCTAATGATGGCCCGTAGCCACAAGGGCAGGAGGGCAGGTGGTGGGGTTGGAGGTCTGCCTGGAATTGGGACAAACTTGAATCTATCAAAAGGCTTCATTCATCTTGTTTGAAGTCATGAGAAGCCGAGGAGGTCACTTTTGTTTTGAAATATTTACGTCTTTCTATTCAACACAACTGGGAATATTGGCGGCTGAAGGCAATGATATCTTTTCCATAATATCAATTATCTTCAAATAACTATTATTCCTGAAATATAGGTTCCAGTCAACTGGAAGGATAGTGTTTGGCAATAAAGCTTTGTAATTGCTTTCCTAATCTCAAACAAGAACAGAATAGCTAGTTGCTAATCACACATTGGGAGAAAATGCAACATAGATGGATTGCATGTTTTTCTTTTGTTTCATTTTGTGCTTTTTAGGCCACTTACTATGAGAAGAATTGTATGAGGAAAGTGACAAGAGACCCGCCACAGTGGTTAAAAAATACCCAAATAAAAACAAACGAACTGAATATTGATGATTTTTCCTAACTTGACCAGCGCTGGGTTGTTTAGACTCCTTTTGACCCATGTTTAGGGTATTTTTCTTCTACTTTTAATCATCTATGGCGGGTCATTTTGGCTCAAGGAAAGCACAAGGGTTGGGAAGGGCAAAAACATTATACAACAGTGACATCTTGTGGACAACAATGCTCATTTTACAATCTTGGGACAAAATCTTTATTGATAAAATAACAATGGAACAATCATCTCTCCTCCCTTAAAGAGCAACACCTTTACTATGACTTTCTTTCAGCTTTTTGTAAAATCATCTGACTGTATTGATGTTTGAACTTTGACTGGTAATGGGCCAGTCTTTTTGGATTTTTGGCAGATTTTAGAAAACTTTTCAAATTCAGTCCCATTTTGTCAATGCGTTTTTTGGCTCCTCATTACTTGCTGCAGTTCCGTTGAAGCTGCTGTGTCTTCGTACTGAGAGAGGGCCGTTTTCCCAGAGGGGGCTGGGGTCTCATGATACGACCAGGGGCAGTGGACACTTCTCTTTTGGGTGGACTTTTTGGACTCATAGCAGCAGTTTTGGGGAGAGGAGCTGGGGTCACTGGTGGTGCGCTCCAGTCGTCTCTGAGCCGGGCATTAAGCTCCATGTTGATGGCCGCCTCGTCCGTGGTTCTGGCCTTCTGTGCGGCGTTCAACTTCAGCATGATGCAGTCTGTGTTCAGGGGGTGATGAGGACCTCTCCTCTTGATTCGAGCAGATGTGGCCTTCTCACTCAGGGCTACTTTGATGGAATCTCTTTGTTCTTGATCGATTTGATATTCAGATCATACAGAGCAGTAACAAAACAGTAGTTAGTGTACATTTGTCAAATCAAAATGGTCAGCAAAGCATGAATAAGACGTTTTAAGGATGCATTTTGCCACTTTTCTGATAGTGTCCATTACCCTCTGGATTGCTTAGAGAGTTTATCTAGTTTTGAAATGTTCCTAATTATGAAACTAGTCCATTATTTATAAATGTTGTGGTTTTACTGCTCAAAAACCTGAATTCTTACATTCTGTTGGCTCTCCTCTTGCAGATAGATAGAGATAGATACTTTATGATTCCCCGTGTAGAAATTCAGGTATAGCCTATAGTGTTTGTTTGTCCTTAGATAAATAGCTTCATGTCATACTGTGAAAAATGTTCATGTCCACAATAAAAACATAAAAAAAATAATACTGCATAGATGACCCTCCACCAGGATAGTTGTGTAATGCAACTTTAATTCGCTGGTGAAACTAATATATAAATCCATCTCATCCATCTTTGAATTGTTATTTTTTTGTAGATTATCAGATTATCAGCAGACCTTACCTTCTGTCAGACCTATCTCGGTGGCGCTGGTCAGACACGACAGAGCCTTCCTTCTGAGCGCTTTCTCATTGGAGGAAGACAGGTTTTTCACAGGAGCAGAGGCCGGGAGCTTCGGTATATTTGAAATCAAACCGTCTTTGTTCTGGACTTGTTTTTTGTCCTCATAATCCCAAACAACCTCCCCGAAAAGGAAAGACTTCACATTTAAAGCCGTGTTTACGACAAAACTAAGAGACGATAATTACAGAATGAATGCATTGTCAAATATGTTTTATCAGTCACAATTTTGTCTACCTGTTGTGGTGGAAATGGACTGAGAGGAGGACGTTGGGACTGTTCACTGCCACTATCACCTTGATACAGTCTCCAGTTAGAAAGTTAAATATTCTGATTTTTCCATCCATGCAGGCCGTGACCACACGCAGGTAGCTGAGCGTGAGGGATGTGACCTCTCTGTCGTGATGCAGAACAAAGGGAGAATTAAATGCAATTGCAGGACTGGAGAAAATCAAGATGAATTAAAAAATAACAAAAATAACAAAATCCAGGATATAACAGAAAAATTCAAGAGATCAAACCACAAAGAAACAAGGGAAAAAACACAATGGACCAACAACAAGAGAAAGGGAGCACAGGGTTTAAAAACACATTACAAAACTTAAAAGAACCAATATACACTGCAAAAAGTGATGAAAATGATGTCAAAAATTGCTCAAATTTGGCTAAATGATTCTTAATTTGAGCACATTTGAAACAAGATTTGCCAATGGGACACGCTACATGGTCTTGTTTTAAAGAATATCCAAGAAATGTCTCCCGTGGAATGAAAAAATGAAGCAACATATCTTGAAATTAGACCAAATGGTTTTATCCCATTGGCAAATTTTGGTTTACGACAGTCAGAATGTGCTCAAATTAAGACAAAAAACACTCGATTCAAGTAATTATATACCTCATTCATCAAGTTTTGCAGTGTAAAAAATACCAATAAGTAAAAGTAAGCAAAAAGTCCAGCCCATGACACTCTCTGGATTAAACAAACACGACCATAGAACAACGAGATTCCAAGTTTAAACTAAAGACATCTCTGGAATATGGTCAAAAACAATGTTATTATTTATTCTTTGTTTGAATGTGTAATCCCTGAACATTTGAAGTATCCTTATCTGGTCCCTGTTGTAAATGTAAACGCTTACTTTGGATGTTTGAACGTCCTGATGCAGTCTACACTCGCGTCACAGTGAGAGCTCCAGGCTTTGACCACTCCTTTGACGTCTCCGGTCAGAAGATGCCATTCGTCCAAGAAGAGGCAGCGGACTGAGCACAGATGGCCACTGATCACCTAAGCAATGTACACCAAATATTCTTGTGATTATGAGGAGAAATGATCGAAATAATCAGGACTGGACTTTAGTGAGATATTTGTGCAGTGCATCCAATCAAACTAATGCGGTGTACATTTTCTTCAACAAAGTCTTAACATTCCCAGACTCCCAGAATTCTAAAAGTAATAGAATTCCCAGAGCAGCCATTTTGTCGGCTACTATTCAAACTGGTGGCCTTCTGAAAAGAATACTCCAAGAAATAATTAGTTTTCCATCAATTTGATCAGCTTTGTGTTCACTTTTACTCACTTCGAATAAGTGCTCAAACCGGTGGATATAACTTGAAATAGTAAAAATTCTATGGTATCGCGAACTTGATCTTCTCTGGTGGAAAATAAATTCTTTGGTAGATAAAGCTAGCACTTTTCAAAAATAAAAGATAATTTAATATCAAATAATGACATAGAAATTAACTACATACAGTATAGATACAGAAAAAGTCACAAAGTTAGGACGACCAAAAAGGTAAATACATAGAGTAATTCCATACTTTACTTTTGCTGGTGGTTTTGAATCTGAATCAAAAAACTGTCAAACTGACTTCTTTGGGGGTCCTAGTGTTAAATATCACTACCAATTTAAAAAAAAAAAAGTGTTTGTTTGCTTCTTTGACATCGAAATACTGTAGTAGAAGTATATATTGTTTTTCCTCTGTTCTGATTTGACCTTAATCTCTGCTGCGGTCTCCAGGTCCCACACTTTGACCTGTCCTTTGTTGCAGCCGCTGTAGACTCGGGTTTGGATCTTCACACACTCCACGGTTCCTTTGTGTCTGAAGTTATACTGCTTACAGAGTTTCCCTGTTTGCAGACTCCAAACTGTAAGACCACATGTTTAGTTGGACACCTGTTTTCATGGTCGATACACTTCATTTTCCATTTTTTTGAGATCCTTTCTTTTTACGGTGCAGTCCCTGGCTCCGGAGACGAGAGTATCTCCGCACACGTCCAGACAGTTGACCGCAGCAGCGTGACCCGACAGAACCATGACACATGACTGGCTTGTCAGATTCCAACACCTGTGTAAAAGAGGGCAGCAGTGACAATGTGTCTGCCACTCAGAAGTCAAATATGTATTTTACTATATGTGAAGTCTGCTATACTGAAACTCACACTTTATACCTATGTTATATATGTCAAAGGTTTAATGCACTCAAAAACGGCTGCAAGTCCTAAGTAGCTCTGAAACAGCTGTTGTTTTGTGCTTTACCATTCAATTATTTTCATAGCTTTTTTCTACTTGAGATGTTGCTGCAGTACAGTGTTCATTGTTTTACACTGGTCCAGTCCAGAGCAGAGAGGATTAATGGTCCGAACCAAGCGGATCAGGTAAAAATCGAAAAATGCTAATGAAGCGTTTAGCATTTTACTTTGGAAATGAACAGAGAAAATGGTCTGAACCAAGAGGCTACTCCACCTCTGCTGCTGTGACCGTCCTGCTCCACCCAGCGGCAACTCCACCTCTGCTGCTGTGACCCGTCCTGCTCCATCCAGAGACTACTCCACCTCTGCTGCTGTGACCTGTCCCGCTCCACCCAAAGACTACTCCACCTCTGCTGCTGTGACCCGTCCTGCTCCACCCAGAGCCTACTCCACCTCTGCTGCTGTGACCCGTCCTGCTCCACCCAGCGGCTACTCCACCTCTGCTGCTGTGACCCGTCCTGCTCCACCCAGCGGCAACTCCACCTCTGCTGCTGTGACCCGTCCTGCTCCATCCAGAGACTACTCCACCTCTGCTGCTGTGACCTGTCCCGCTCCACCCAAAGACTACTCCACCTCTGCTGCTGTGACCCGTCCTGCTCCACCCAGAGCCTACTCCACCTCTGCTGCTGTGACCTGTCCTGCTCCACCCAGCGGCTACTCCACCTCTGCTGCTGTGACCCGTCCTGCTCCACCCAGCGGCAACTCCACCTCTGCTGCGGTGACCCGTCCTGCTCCACCCAGAGACTACTCCACCTCTGCTGCTGTGACCTGTCCTGCTCCACCCAGCGGCAACTCCCCCTCTGCTGCGGTGACCCGTCCTGCTCCACCCAGAGACTACTCCACCTCTGCTGCTTTGACCTCTCCTGCTCCACCCAAAGACTACTCCACCTCTGCTGCTGTGACCTGTCCTGCTCCATCCAGAGGCTACTCCATCTCTGCTGCTGTGACCTGTCCTGCTCCACCTCTGCTGCTGTGACCTGAGGGGCTGTTGCTGATTATTACTATCGTTTGCTTTTTAGAATGATCGATTTATTTTTTATTTTTTTGCTGCTACTGGACACCTGAAATTCTCCTACAGGGATCAATAAAGTATCTATTTATCATCTATCTATCATCCATAAATGACCTGATGATTGCGTCCACACATCCGGCGATGACCATGTCCTTGTCCTCACACAGACGCAGAGCTCGGATTTGAACCACGCTTTCTTTGAGCACAGAGATGACTTTGGGCGTTGCAGAGACATAAAGGAGCTGCACCATCCCGTTCTTGGAGCTCACAGCCATCAGTTTGTTCCCGTTGTGGTCAATGACGCGGTGACAGTCGTGTCTGTACAAAACAATCAGAGCGCAAGGAGTCCAAATCAAATATTGTTGTGTGTCAAAATCAATGAAAATCTGCAGTTGTGCTTGAAAGTGTAAAGCTGCAGCCAGAGATGTCATTGTTTGGGCCATATGTAAGTGATTGTGTGTCAGTTTTTGTCAAGTAAATGTATATTATTTGAGCCGCTCTTGATCTTAAATGTGAAGTTCATGCAAGGGGGCTCAGGAATGTATAGGAACTGGAGGCTTTTGCGCAAAAAGAATGGACAGCTTTACTGCCAAAGAGGATAATGAACCTCATCCACAACTCCCGCAAAAGCTGTCATGGTGAGAACTTGGGAGTGTACATTTGAAAATGCAACTAAATTTCTCAGAAATATGGCTAAAAAAAGTTAGATTTCTGCCTGTGTGTATAAACTTTCAGGCAAGCTGTAACTTCATGTAAATCCTTCATCTCAGAACAGATTTCAAACATACTTATCAATAATATCCTTAGTAAAGAATCCACCACAGTAAATATTACGCTCTTCCATCTCGACCAGTTTATGCTCCTACAAAAAACAACAGCAACAAATGAGTATGGCTTCAAATCCTGCATTTTGTGACTTTAATATAAAACAGAAATACCTCTTTGGCTCCAGACCCATCCGCACTGACAAGAACTTGGACTTTGATGATATTGGCATAAGTTGGACTAGAATTGGCTGTAGGTTTGCGCTGGGAACACAAGATTGTCAAGGAGACTTTGCTGCCACCCTTATCCCAATAATTACACTGTACAATCACAATCTGTTGCTAATTACACTGTCATGATATCAAATAAAAGAACTATTGAAATATAGTAATATAACAATCTGCCTATATAAGATACAAGCAGTGAAATCATTAAAAGAACATTTCCAAAATAACATATCAATGGGCAGGCGTGCGATACGTTTAATAAAAACAAATCATTAATAGCCTACTGTATGGGGTGTGTATAAATGTACCAACCTTTATTAACATCGCAATCTTTTTATTCACTCTTTTTCTAAATTCAGTCTCAGTGAGGGTTTCTTTTGCAAGCAGATGCCATTGGTGCGACACTTCACAGCAGATAGTTAAGCAAGATTCATCCAGGAAACCTTGAAAGACTTAGCACATTAGAACAACAAACAAGCTTTGATTTGGTATATGAATTCACTTACTTAATATTCTTTTGGCCAGATTAACAGGCAAAGCAGATATAAAATCTTTGTAGAGGCTGATCCCACTGTAAGACTTGGAGGAACCAGGGACTACCATAATAGCAGGTTCATCTAATGTATTATTATTGTTACAGCCTGAAAGAAAATTTTAAAAAAATGGTTGTGTCGTGTCAAATGTTTTTTAGTCAGGGGCTTTTTGGTGGCCTCTAGTGGTAAGTCAAAATATTACAGGTGTTACCTTCAAATGTCAGCAATCCACGCTTTTGTCTGACGAGTAAAACATGTGTTAAATTAGCAAGCGCTCGTAATAAGTCATTGTCACAACACAAAAGAAGTCGACAAAGATAGTGAGATTTCATCCAGTCTTGGCAGCTGTCAAACCACTCTCTTGCTTCATGTCCATTGAATCCAGACGGCTTCTCTTTAGGCTTTTGGCTGATGCAAGGGACGGAAAAGTCAGGTTTTTGTGATCTGGAGTACGTAAACATTGTGCACGATGTCAGGGATAACACGCAGTCCATTTTCTCCAGCACTTCAAGGCTTCTGCACCTGGAAAGTAAGTCCATAAGAAACTTCCTATGAAATGAGTCTCCTACGGTCCATAACCGATCCGGAGAAATCGACGGAGTTTGGGCAAAGGCACAAAAACGACACATCCCACAGAGGTGAACACAAGGCCTGCATCCTATTAAATCTGGGTAAGTTGTATCACTTGGTAAGTTCGTCATGTCAAAAATGTAGGAGCGAAAACTAGACGTGGTAACAAAACAGGAAAACCTTGTAGCGTCGTACATGGCGTCGTAACTAAGCAACAACCGAAACCGCCTTTTCTCAAAATTCAGGATGTACACCTGTGATAAATGAATATTATTTCATATTTGTTCATGTGTTACACTATACAAGAGTAATATGCGTTTCATAAACTCAAAAGTAGAAAAAAAGCGTGCGCCGCCCGGGAATCGAACCCGGGTCGCAAGAATGGGAATCTTGCATGATACCACTACACCAGCGGCGCCGTTAAGTAACACATATGGGGAAAAGAACATATCAATATTGTACTATGGTCTCGTATTTAACGTGTTTATTACGCTACATATTTATATTTTTATATTATTTTGATCATGTGTTCGTGAATTAAATCATTTATTCACCAGAGAGTTATAGCGTTAATCATATAAAATAGCGCCGAACTCTGGCTGCCGACTAATGTTGGCATTCTAACACTTTTTCATGCTATCAAAGTGAAACCCTTGTCAGTATGACGAAGATCCAGGGCTCTTGATTATGCTTGTACCTATTTTAACTCATTTAATATTCTGTTATTTTAACACACAAGGATGTATAAGCTTTTATTGTGGAGAAAGTAGTATTTACTTCCGGGAATTACTTCAACCGCCTACAGTTAGCATCATGAGCTAATGTTTAACACATGTTTTTGCGGACTATTTTACATTAGTCTGAACAACCTGGCACTCCATTTTCAGGTATGGAGGGTTGTTTAAAATACAAATAACTACGTTGTACGTCACTTTACTGAGAAATAGCCTTTTGTCTCGTCACTACTCTTGTAAGTACATTAATTGCTATCAAAGTAAGCTAACGGTGTTCAGAGGTGTCAAACATAAGTTCTCAAGGTGCCTCTAAAATACAACTTATATATATATTTATGCATGTTTTCATTGGTGCTGGATTTATACTTGCCCTTTTATCCATTCTTCACGTTACCTTCAAATGGTTGTTCATAGCTTCTTGGCTATCGGGTTAGCTTATAGATCTGTGATTTTAGCCCTGTTTTGACTGCTTTAATTTTCTTTTACAGAGCGCGCAGGAATGACGCACAGAGCCGAAAGTGTGGAGTGGGTTGAAGGCGCAGAGGTTGTTATAATTCAGGAGTGTATACCGTCTGTTGCCAACAACCACACTGTTGCTTCAGGTATATTGTATTTTCTTGTGTGTATAATGATCAGCCTGTGTTCTGTCTATAAATTGATTATAAACCTTTTCTGATGTAGTAATACCTATTTTGGAGCCCGAAGGGGCAAACATCCAGAAGCTATTGGATTCGGTGGTACCAGGGGAGAGCCATGGCTTTTGTAAGTCTCCATTTGTATACAGTTAAAGTGAAGGACAAATATTCAAACTCCCTTCCCTTCTTTAGGTTGTGAAGAGTGTATGGCTTTATTTCAAGACCATAATGATTCATCTAATGTCAATGGGCCTTCATTCATACTGGACTATCCCACAACAATGGATGTGCCGCAGCGAGCTCTTCTCACACTTCCATTTGGGCTCATGATTGGCAGATCTAGTATTCCTAATGCAGGTGTTGGCGTGATCAACCATGGTCCAACTCTGTGTCCTGGAATGCACTTTGGGCCTTATGAAGGAGATGTGGTTTCAAAAGAAAATGCACTGTCAAGTTGCTTCTCGTGGGAGGTAGGTTCAGTGAAGAATTTAGAGTATTTTCCTCTTGATCTAATCTCAGTGTATGTTTAGCATAATAATATGAAGAATGACAAAGCGAATGGCTCTCTTTGCTTGCTTCCAAACTGGTGCGACCGTTATGATCCCAGTCTACATGCAGGCACAGACAGCGAAATTGCTATCATTCATACTATTTTTGGCCGAAGAAATCTCACAGCATCTAGTTTACTACTTAATTGCTATGATCATAATACTGTGCCTTGCTAAAGTATTCGGCCCCCTTGAACCTTTCAACATTTTGCCACATTTCAGGCTTCAAACAAAGATATAAAAATTACATTTTTTGTCAAGAATCAACAACAAGTGGGACACAATCGTGAAGTGGAACGAAATTTATTGGATAATTTAAGCTTTTTTAACAAATAAAAAACTGAAAAGTGGGGCGTGCAATATTATTTGGCCCCCTTGCGCTAATACTTTGTAGCGCCACCTTTTGCTGTAATTACAGCTGCAAGTCGCTTGGGGTATGTCTCTATCAGTTTTGCACATCAAGAGACTGGAATTCTTGCCCATTCTTCCTTGAAAAACAGCTGGAGCTCAGTTAGGTTGGATGGAGAGCGTTTGTGAACAGCAGTCTTCAGCTCTTTCCACAGATTCTCGATTGGATTTAGGTCTGGACTTTGACTTGGCCATTCTAAAACCTGGATACGTCTATTTGTGAACCATTCCATTGTAGATTTGGCTTTATGTTTTGGATCATTGTCCTGTTGGAAGATAAATCTCCGTCCCAGTCTCAGGTCTTTTGCAGACTCCAACAGGTTTTCTTCCAGAATGGTCCTGTATTTGGCTCCATCCATCTTCCCATCAATTTTAGCCATCTTCCCTGTCCCTGCTGAAGAAAAGCAGGCCCAAACCATGATGCTGCCACCACCATGTTTGACAGTGGGGATGGTGTGTTCAGGGTGATGAGCTGTGTTGCTTTTACGCCAAACATATCATTTTGCATTGTGGCCAAAAAGTTCGATTTTAGTTTCATCTGACCAGAGCACCTTCTTCCACATGTTTGGTGTGTCTCCCAGGTGGCTTGTGGCAAACTTTAAACGAGACTTTTTATGGATATCTTTGAGAAATGGCTTTCTTCTTGCCACTTTTCCATAAAGGCCAGATTTGTGCAGTGCACGACTGATTGTTGTCCTATGGACAGACTCTCCCACCTCAGCTGTAGTTATCTGCAGTTCATCCAGAGTGATCATGGGCCTCTTGACTGCATCTCTGATCAGTCTTCTCCTTGTTTGAGATTAAATTTTGGAGGGACGGCCGGGTCTTGGTAGATTTGCAGTGGTCTGATACTCCTTCCATTTCATTATAATTGCTTGTACAGTGCTCCTTGAGATGTTTAAAGCTTGGGAAATCTTTTTGTATCCAAATCCGGCTTTAAACTTCTCCACAACAGTATCTCGGACCTACCTGGTGTGTTCCTTTGTCTTCATGGTTCTCTCGGCGCTTTAAACAGAACCCTGAGACTCAATGGTGTAGGTTTGGTTCCAATCTTGGTGGGGACATTCACTACGACCTGAGTCTACACCCATTGACACGGGGTCCAGAGTTTCTCCCCCAGAATTTGTTGTGTAATCACACACTATATTTGCAATAGTGTGTTGCCTTCTACACTAAACTCAGCTGTAGACTGAATGAGTTAAGGATTTTTTCTAATAGTTAAAACAAAATCAATTGGATCAGAGCTTCTGAGTTTTGTGTTGCGTTCATTCTATACTGACTTAAACCTAATCCAAATCTACATAATAGCCCTCACCTGAGGCTCTAACAGTTCAGGAACTGCTCTCAATACTTGAAATAAATCATGCTCTGATCTTTCAATTTCCTATAATAAATAAAAACAGAGGAGAAAATATTGAATTAGAATCTACAGTGAGTAGCTCACTACATTGTTTGACATATACAATCAATCTCTAAAAACAATTCATAGTCCCATGCATACCTACAAAATTCCAACCTCACCTGATGCACTGAAGGGCCTGTTGCTTCTACCTCAACATTCCCTATATTGTTCTCTCTTGTTGGTTGAGTTTCCTATGTATGTTAACAGAAGATTAATCATCACAATTCATAATTTGCTATTACTTGTGCTTTCTATAACTTACTTTCCAACTGTTAAAAAAGCTCCTGATATCTTTTATCTTTTTTTGTGGAGGTGGCATTTTTTCTAAATTAAGAAAGGGCGGCACGGTGGCTGAGTGGATAGCACTCTCGCCTCTCAGCAAGAAGGTCCTGGGTTCAAATCCCGGTTGGACCAGGGCCTTTCTGAGTGGAGTTTGCATGTTCTCCCCGTGTCTGCGTAGGTTTCCTCCGGGTGCTCCGGTTTCCCCTACCACTAAAAATATGTACAATAGGTCTGGCATGTGCCTCCTGTACTGGCACCCCCAATCCCAAAAAATAACAATTGTAAACCGCTTTGAGACTCCGATGTGCAGTGAAAAGGCGGTATATAAATAAAAAAGATTACAAGATTACTAGATTACTAAATTATATAAGAAGGTATAGAAAATCAAAAACAGACATTCATATACATGAACTGCAGAATCATTTATATAACTTGGCCAATGTCAAAAGTTACATAGTATTTCTCAATACAATGAGTTAACAAGAGTTTGGCAATAAGTAACAGTGTGGATTTTTCTATATTTTCTTTTTTTTTATTCCACTCTCAACCCAAAAAGGCAAGTAATGACTCACAAGGCTCTCAAGTATGCAAAATAAAAACTTAAATGACCTGTTGTGGTGTGTTTTGCGCACAACCAGCATGCATCGTTAACGCAATGGAAAATTTAGGTATCCGAGCTTTAATTTCGGGAGCGCTGGTTGCGCTTTGGGAAGAGTCAGGGGAGAGACATGTCAGAGACACAGGGGAGAAACGGGGGAGATACGAGAGAGACCCGCACTTGCAACATGGTTCTGTCTGCATATGGTCCGAGCTCGGTACCATGTTAGAGCTGTGCTTTCACTGAGCGCCGCGGCTGTCATTACAAAGCGGCAGCAGCTGCACCAGGACGTGCACATTCGAGTGCATCGCTTGAATGTGCTTAGAGCAAATCACAGCAAGTGCCCGCTGTCACACATTTCACAGAAATCACATTATCAGCAGATAAAGGTTGTAAATCGTGGATCCGTGGAATATTTTTATCCCTAGTTTATCCTGATTCACACAACACACCCACTCATACATTTTGGATAGTAAGAGCACAATAAGTATTTTTTCAGCCTTTCAACCAACCTGTTTCTTTATTGGAGCCAGTTCTGTTCTGTCTCTGTGCCGTGTGAGCTCCTCGGGACATTAAACAGTGCGCTGACAGATTAGAAATAACGTAAGTACTTTGAATGGTAATAGATCCACAGTACTTTCCTCTGATTACTCACGTGCTACAACGCTCAGGGAACGAAAAAAAACACTTGCTTCACGCTGGCTAACTTTAAAAAAATAAACAGTTGCTCAGTGCTTCAGTTTGGCGCTGAAGAAGACAGCCAATCACTGCAGAGAACGGAACGGGTCACGTGCTGCTGCTGCTGCTGTTGCTCTGGAGGCGAGGAGGAGGCGCGACGTATGCACAAACGGAAGACATGTGTCCCGGACCGTCCGGGTCACGGGACATCATGTCATTTTGGTGGGGACTTTTTAGTCCACACCAAATATTGGTGGGGACATGTCCCCATGGTCCCCACGCAAACCTACGCCCTTGCTGAGACTATCAAAGAGCAGGTGCATTTATATGGAGACTTGATTACACACAGGTGCATTCTATTTATCATCATCAGTCATTTAGGACAACATTGGATCATTCAAAGATCCTCACTGATCTTCTGGAGTGAGTTTGCTGCGAATAATATTGCACACCCCACTTTTCAGTTTTTTATTTGATCCAATAAATTTCGTTCCACTTCACGATTGTGTCCCACTTGCTGTTGATTTATGACAAAAAATATTTTTTTTTATATTTTTATGTTTGAAGCTTGAAATGTGGCGAAATGTTGAAAGGTTCAAGGGGGCCGAATACTTTCGCAAGGCACTGTAAATGAGTAGCCTATATGTATACATTTGTAATACAAGCATGGTTTTTCCCCGTGCTCTTAAATGCATCTGCTTGCCTTGTCTCTGTAGCATCTGGTTTGCACAGTTGTGAGTGTTAACAGTAGACTTGGTTATGACATATATTTTCACACTTCAATCGGCCGCCCGGGTTTACATTCTCTTGCTTAGTTTAATTAAACTGGGCTAGACGAGTTCACCGGTTTCCACTAGTGCCTTCTGAACAGACTTGTTGTCACTATGTAGCATGTAACACTATTCTGTTTTGTAGATAAACAAAGGAGAAAATGGATACACATATGTAGATGCTTCTATAGATGATCATTCAAACTGGATGAGGTAAAATTACATTACAGTAAAAACTCAAATACCAGTAGTTTGATACGTCACACTGGTATTTGTTTCTAATATTCTTTTGTTTTACAAAGATATGTGAACTCGGCCCGGAACAAAGACGAAGCCAATTTGATCGCGGTACAGTACAAAGGCACCATCCTGTTTCATTGTTGTGGTACAATCCACGCTGGAGATGAACTGACGGTGTGGCCCAGCAGCAAGATGCTCGACCAATTTAGTGAAGATTGGACCCAGTTCTGGTTTTCTAAGTTGAACATTCGAGGTATGCTTGAAAGTCTTAACGAATGTGGTGTTTCTAGGATTAGTGATAATGTACATTTTCTCATATATTTTAATGTGTTGCCTTTTTGTCTGCTTGCATAATTTGTTTTAGAAAACAACACAACTCCATCCACCCAGATCTTCCTGTGCCCTTCTTGTCAGTTATCCTTCACTACAGAGTCTTACTTGCAGCGGCATATTGAAAACCGCCATTCAAGCTCATGTGTTGCAGTTATCGAGGCAGAAGATGAACAGTCAATTGAAGAGTTGACAGATGGACCTTCAGATAATTCCAATACGTGCCCCGATTGTGGGAAAACGTTTAATCAAAATATTCACTTAAGAAGACATATTCTCCGAGTCCACTCAATTCAACGGCCCTTCTGTTGCTCACATTGCAACAGGACTTTTACCCAGGCATCAAGTCTGATCAGGCATCAGCTTGTACATAAAAAGCCAATGTCGGCATTGCAACAAGATCAAGACTTAAACGAAACCGAAACGCAAGAAATTCCAACTCCAGAGCAAGCAGAAGATGAGATAGAAAAAGAGGAGGGATCCAACCAAGTAGTGTGCTTAACTGTTGATGTAAATGCACCGGAGGTACCCCTTAAAGAGCCTATAATGTGTCCTAATTGTGATAAACCGTTCTTTCTCGAGTCAAACTTGAAAAAACATGTCGCACTTGTACATGGTAACTTCCGTCCATATGTTTGCTCATTCTGTCAGAAGGGCTTTAGGCAGTACAGCGACCTTTCCAGACATCTGAAATCTCACAAAAACCAAAAGCAACAACCCAAAAAAGGTGTTAGCGATGAAGATATTTTGTTCAGCTGCCCGATATGTTTGGTTACTGAACCCTCTGTGGAAAAACTTAAAGAGCACATCAAAAGTGAGCACCCAGATGTTGTGTTTGTGGAGAGTGAGAAGGATGAACCTGATGTTGAAGAGAAAGGAGTCAAAGAAGATAGTCCAATGCAAGAAGAACAAGAAGAAATAGAAGAAACCAAGCCTGCTCTCCCAGTGTCAGATAATCAAAGACCAAAGCGGCTCAAGGCAATATCGAATGTTTCTGCCTTGACAAGAGACATGGGGCCGAAAAAGAGAAAAGTTAAAAACACCGCAACCTTAACGAAAGAAACGCCGTCATCTACCGAGAGCTGTCCCGAGACCGAGGCGCAGAGTGACAGCGGTCAAAAGACGGCCAAAAAGTTCAAATGGTTTGGGTGTAATCGCTGCAGACGCACATACCCCAATATAAAACTCCTCAGAAGTCATACATGTTCTCCCAAGCAGCTCAAATGCCTTCAATGCGGAGTCGTTTTTAACAAAATCGGTTTCCTCAAAAGGCACGAGCGGACGGCACACGCAGACACCAATTATAATCCTCGCCCTCCGTGCGATCGCTGCGGTAAAGTCTTTTCTAGCGCATCCAAACTGAAAAACCACCAGAAGAAACAAAATTGCGATAAGTACCTGTGCAAGTCTGAAGTGTTCCCCTGCCCCATCTGTCCGTTTTCCTTTTCCATCAAAACCTACTTGGTCAAACACATAAGAAGGCACCATCCCATTGATTATTTGTCTCATCAAGAATCTGAAACTCTGGTGGAACTCGGCATGGATCAGGAAGAGAGGGTCTACAAATGCCCGCTCTGCGACAAGAGCTACGCAAGCGCACAGGCATTGAAAAACCACGCGTGTGTCCAACAGACCAAGATCCTCTACCTGTGCACGGATTGCGGCAAAGGTTTCACCAACAAATACGGTCTGAAACAGCACCAGCGGATTCACACCGGCGAAAAACCCAACAACTGCCCGCACTGCCCCAAAACCTTCGCGCACGTCGGGCAGCTCAACGTCCACCTGCGCACGCACACCGGCGAGAAGCCTTACCTCTGCACGCACTGCGGCGACAGCTTCCGGCAATCTGGTGACCTCAAGAGGCACGAGAGGCGGCACACGGGGATCCGGCCGCACACTTGTCCCGAGTGCGGTAAGGGTTTCAGCCGCCCGACGAGTCTCAAAGCTCACATCATGCTCCACCTGGGGCAAAGGATCTTCAAGTGTACGCAGTGTGGCAAGAGCTTCTCCCGGAACTACCATCTCAGAAGACACCACCAGAAAATGCACTCGTAAATGCCGTACATAGAATGAGAAAGTAAAGATTTTGAAATAGCCCAAATTTATTGTTTTTGTAGACTTGTAGAGCCCTTGTGTTAAAAGGCAACAAGACGCGGGGGACAGGATCAACAGTCTATGGGATCAACGTGGAAACACCTGAGAAATACCTTTTTCAGAATAATTTAATAAGACGACATGTAGACAAGGCTTCTCTCGTAACAATCAAAAATGGTATGCAAAAGGAGTCGAACACAAAATGAATTCTGTTGATGCTTTTTTTACTGCTTGTTGAGAAAAGCTTTTCTCCCCAGTATTTAGAACAATAAAAGGTTCAAATCAACTTCCCTTTGTTGGTATTATTATAGATATAACTGTAACTACCATCACCTGTTACAGCAATGCACTATAGGCGTATGTGTTCCTTTACCTAAGGGCTGTTGTGTAATCCTTTTCCTCCTTGTTTTTGCTGTTATTTTGAGCATATTAGATCAATTGTATTATAGAATATCTGGAGATTTCTATTTTGGAATCTAAATCCTCTGTAATTTACTTGTTAATAAAAATCAAGACATCTTGAATTTTCACTGTTGACCATTTATTCCACAAAACATACAATGCAAAGCAGGTGCACTGTACAAGCCAATATCATGAAAGTACCCATAACCATGCCTATTAATTTAGCTTATTAATAGTTTTTGTATTCGTCCAGATCTACTTTTTATACATGACGTATTTTCACATTGTATTTTAAAACATTGCTTTTGTCAGTTCTGGTCATGTTAGCTTTTAGTTCCAACTTGACTAGTATATAAATATTAAGGAAAATTAAAATATATCAGTCTTAACCTGAACTATACAAACTTACGGGTAGGACATGAGATACAAGTATACACTCAATTTTTCATTTTAAACTGTGCGTACTTCAAACCGGTCGAGAAACCTGGCAGTGTTTCCAAGTGCTACACGGCGGTGGTGGGTGCAGCTGCTGGTTACGTACAAGCTTTTGAAACCGTTAATACATTTCTGCTGGCATCGGACGGTCCAGTCTTCACATGAGCGAGGTTTACAAATCTTTTTTAAAAACAACATCCGTTTTTGAGGGAAAAAAGTTGTGGCACAGCAGTTGAGGAGGCTTGTTTGTGTGGTCCGTTCTCAAAAGAAGCAATGGGTTAAAATTATAGCAGTTCTTTGAGTTTATGTGTGTAAAAAATGTCACAAAAATCACTTCTGAAAGGTAGGCAGCAGGTGGTGTGTTGGGAAAGTGACTAGGCCCCTACAAAGGATGAGTTACTCTTTGTACAATATCAAAGACGCTTCTTATTCAATCTTCTGTCCAGTGACGCACCATGTATAAAGTCCTTTTTAGTGCAAATCCAATGTACATCCTTCGTTACATTATACTCTTAATGACACCAGCATTTCTTTATATTATGTTAAATGGTTTACACGTTAAAAATGTATACAAAACAAATTGATTGTAAAGTCACACATCACATATGTACAAAGAATGTCACAAAATAGGGCGAAATCAAATCATGGGAAACTTGTTTTTGTTTTTTTGCTGTTTTTTGTTTTTGGCAATTGAAAAGCAACAGCTGGGAATCGCCGCATGACCACTAAATAAGGAATAAGTGTGAAAACAAAGGAACGTCGAGGAGCTTTACGGAAGGAACGAGTCTGTCTGGTGCCAAAAATCATTCGCAGACAATCGCTGAACATGTCACCGTGAAAGAAATAGAAGACGGCGGGCACAAAATGGCTTCTCTGCCTCAAAACAAGGTAATCAGAAATACCCTGCGGTTTGTTGAAAGCACAATAACACTGTCCTTCTTCTTCTAGATGTGATGGAGTGAAGCGTTGGCGAGAAACATGAGACGAATAAAGGCCTTTTTTTATAAGGGTTCAGATTTCAGCTCCTCCACTTGGCACTCCAGGTCCGCCACCTGAAACGAAAGTACGTTTTTACACGTTAATACATTTAGCGAAAGTGCTAATGTAGCGTGTTGGTATTATGTGAGTTACAACTGGAGTATCTACAGCTGGAGTTCAGTGTTGATTAAGAAGTGTTTTGCTAAAGCGGCACAGTGGCTGAGTGGATAGCACTCTCGCTTCTCAACAAGAAGGTCCAGGGTTCAAATCCTGGTTGGACCAGGGAATTTCTGAGTGGAGTTTGCATGTTCTCCCTGTGTCTGCGTAGATTTCCCCCTACCACTAAAACATGTACAATAGTTCTGGCATGCACCTCCTGTACTGGCGACACTGCTCCCATCTCTGTGTGAAGTGAGAGGACAATTGCCCAAAAAAAAAATATATATATATACAATTGTAAACCGCTTTGTGACTCTGGTCTGTGAAAGGCGGTATATAAATAAAGATTACTTACTTAAAGATTACTTATCTCATTAGAAAATGTTTTAGAAGAAGATATACTTTACTATACTTAGCTTGTACATACTGAGAGCTGATTGGCCGCTGAAAAAGCTGATCTAAAAATGTGATAGAGGCCAAAAATACATATGCATAAGAAAACTAGTGATAGATTCAAACTGACCCTAACCCTTTCACACATGGATTTTAATACACATTTATTTAAAGTTAGGTACACCCGCTATACGTGCGGCACGCTCTTATTTAATGGGTTTTAAACTTTTCCTTCTTAGATATTTCTGTATAGAACAGTGATTTGAGAGAAAATGATTATTGGACAGAACTATTGGTATTGTGTTGTCCCTGGGTCACTGCTTCATTGGCTGTTGTTGTAGCAGTATTATGTCACGGTTACAAATTATGACAATGGAACAACTGCTCATGTTGGCACAAAAACAAGGCAGTCTGCGGGCTTCATTATTCTGTTCTTTTTGTTCTGTTCTTTCTGATTCTATAATAACCAATCGTTCAAAAAAAGGTTGTCTTTTCGTTAATTACTATGAATATCAGTCTCCCTCTACTACTACATCTCCTCACAGCTTAAAAGGTCTAGCTTATTCTTTTTTTATATAGATATATTTTTTGTCTAATGTCATAGAGGCTTTAAAATAAACAATTCATTATAAATAATTCAGTTTCTATATACTTTTCCTTTAAACACCTCAAGCCCTGATGATCCAGCCGTTTAAGTCCTTTAGGATGTCCTTTAAGTCCTTGTAATGGTCTTAGTTTTTTCCTGCCCTAGATCACTTCTAGTTTCAAGTTGATCCTGTTTATTTTGTTTTAGGTCAAAAATAAAAAGCTACATTGAATTCATAGCACTTGTGCAACTTGTACCTGTTCTTGGAGTTGCCCAGATTCCTCTTTCAGGAGAGAAGCTTCAGCCCCGACTTGTGCACTACGCTGAGTCTCCTTCTTCAGATACTCAATCTCCCTGAAACACACAAACATCAAACACTCACGTTTTAAATTCACAACATTCAGAATGTCATAAAAATGTGGCTACATTTTAAATGACTTAAATTCAGGATATTATATGAATCTATACTGAATACCTACATCTATATTTATGCAATACTAAATCATATTTTATGTGACCATGGGATATATTGACTCATACTAAACTAAGGTATTGATTGATTCTTTATGTCATTGTGGATTGAAATGTTGACTTGACGGTCACTAGAGGGCGTAAAAGATCTCTTTTCAACCTTCTGAATCTCTTGAAATAAGCAGTAATTATTTCATATTGACTTCTGCGTTAAACTTTTACATGCGTTGATGATTTCTTGGCCATTTTTCAAAGAATACACACATGATTTGTGATAATATGTTGTTTTGAATCCCCTCCAGATCCACCAGTCTCTTACTTCTGCTGGTAATCCTTGATGAGGCGCTTGGCTTTGCTGTACTTGCGCTCCAAGGCCTGGTACTGGGCCTGGGTCTCCTTGAGGTGTTCGTCCACCGCCTGACACAGACTCTGCGCCTCCATCCAGTACCCCTCCAGCTTCTCCATGCGCTCCTTGTTCTCCTGCAGAGTCTGCTCCAGCTGGGCCTTGTCCATGCGCCACCGCTGCTTCTCCTGCTCCGCGTGGTGAAGCTGCAATCACACAGGATCAGGCCTTTGTTAGCAAGAGAGCTCCAGGTTTGGGCAAGTCTTATAATCAGGCTTCCTGATTATAGAAAAAATAATCATCACAGTTATTGTAGTAATAACTAAAATCACCATTATTAAAAAATATAATTTGTCTTCTTACAAAGCTTTTAAATGCAACATAAAGTTCACAACAAATATGTTCATTTTTCTTCAAAGCTCAAGTATGTTGCCATGAGTAAACAAATCCTTCTCTACAGCTTCATGATTGTTATCATTAATAACTACATTTTAAAACATGGGGAAAAAATCTTTATTCTGATAGTTTTATTCACGATTTTACCATTTTTGTAATTGTGGAGTGAAATAATTGTAATTGTAATTTGAATTTCAATGAATTGCACAGCCCCATGCCTGGCAACCTTTCGATATGACTTTTATGAATGAAAATGTGATCTCATATTTAGATGAAGTTTAAAGCCACTCTTTTTTGCTCTCCAAACACTGCTGCTTCTTTTGACTGACTTGGTTTAGTTACAGGGGGAATTATAACAAATATATCTTCATGTTCATGATTATTAAAACAGGACAAGATCATTCCAAGATAATTCTAAAATTGAAACACTGGTTATATTTTTTGCTTACCTTCCTCTTGAGCTGCTGGATCTCGGCCTGGGTCACGGCATGTTTAATTTGGAGCTTTGTGAACAAGAGACAAAGTTATTCTCTCTGTAATCCACTTCATCACAGTAATCACAATGGAGTGGATCGTCTGTTGCTTACCTCTTTGTACTTGTGTGCCAGTTTCTCCGGGTCGGTCTCCAGGGGAGACATGTCCTCGTTTTCGGCTAAGTCAAACACCTCGATCGCGCTGGGATATGACGGACTGCCCTCTTCATCCTCATCCTCCTCCTCATCTGTACCGTATTCTCCGCCCTAAAGATACAGGGAGCGTTTCATGAAGTCAATTTTAAAGGTGATGTCTGCAACGTCAATTGTATTTCATTTTTGAAATAATTTATATTTTTACCCATATGGCCAAGTAGTATGACACAAAGTAAGTAATTTCCAAAGCAATATGTTTAATATAGTCTCTCATTGGCATAACAACCACCAATAAGATTAGCTTGAGAAGAATATTTGGGCCAATGGCAAGGGGCTTTGTTTTATGTTGTCCAATTAGGAAGCAGTGGGGGTGAGAACAGACGGGGTCAAACCGATGGAAAAAAATTGAGTAAAGACACTCACTTAAAGTATTAGTGTTGAGTATTGTGTTGTCATGATGGCAAACGAACACTAGATGGCGGAAAAGATTTTTGCATCCAAACAGTCTATATTCTGGGCTTTCCTCTCCAGGGATTTAGATTGGTACAAAAACATTTCTGCACATCCGGATCACTTATATAATTTGCATATGATCTAAACAAAAGTACCAAAAGGATTTACTCAAAATACTAATAAGTTTATTATTATTGAAAACTCAAATACTTGCGATTTGACAAATGTCCCAAATTAGACAATGTGTTTTTGATTCAACTGCAGTATAATGTGTCTTGCAGGCATAGAATAAGTACACCCTGGCAATACTTTCTTCATATTCAATTATCATGTTATGTTTTAGCTTGTGTTTCTAAAAGATATGTGATTATTTTAAAGACAAGATGATCCATTCCGCATGTGTGACTGCAGTAAAAAAGGTAACCGCAGTGTATCAATTTGGGTTTTTAAGTTGCACAAGATTTAATGGCAGAAAAGAAAACAAAAACATATTGTAGTTATTGTAGGTTTGTGTTTTAAAGCCCGCCAGACTTCAAATAGCCCACATGCTTAGATGTTTTAATAGACTCTTGGCTGAAACACGCCATCTTCAGATAAAAAAGACCACAGATATGAAACGGATGCTTTCTCGTGTTTTGGGAAAGGATTGTTGGGTGTACAGAGATGAAGCCTCGCAAAACGCTAAACAAAAATAACAACAGTAAGGGGAAAAAATGACAAAGAAGGTGAAAAGAATAACATGGGTAAGCACTTTTTCCATCTGCCATTGACTGTGGAATGCGAAGAACTGAATGGGATTGAACCTGTCGTCAACAAAGATAATGCGCCTGGTTAAAATGTGAAATATTAAAAGTTATGGAAAACATCTATACATTTTAAAGTCATATATTTTGCATTTCTACTAGGCTGAGTAGGGATGTATTAAGTTGTGTTCTGATAACGACAATGTGAACATAGAAGTCAAAATAAAAAAAAAAATGTGTAAGAGCATATTTCATGAGGTCAGAGTATAGTGTTATAGTGTAGGTAGTAAACATGGATCTATAATAATAACTGGATCGGGTCTTACTAGCTTTTGCCTGTCTCCAGTACATGCTCAGTGGCCACCAGCGGTACTGCAGCCAATATTGTTAGGGGTTGAAGGAGAATCTCTCACTATGTTAACAAAAACACTATGGTTTTTTCTGTGTATGTTTATCTTCCACTTGATCATAACCTATTTCCATTTTCAAATCTACCAGTTTTCTATATACGTCCAAACTTTTATTCATCAAACGTGTCCCGCACTACCTTTGTCGCTCTAATGCATGATGGGGGTTGAGCTCGCCACGCAAAGGATCATGGGGGAGGAAGCTCTACTGCGCATACACAGTTTTAAGCCCAAATCTAACTGAAATGTTTAGAGGTTTGGGGATTGCAGCTAATAGCTAACTTCACACAGTCTATTGATGTGAATGGGCAGACATCTTGGATCCCAAGGGCTTGGATGTAGGATCAGGACAGACATTTTATGTTGAAGAAATCCTCAGCTCTATTCATGGAACACTCTGAGGACCATTTTCCTATCTAAAAGATAAGATATTTTGATTTATACAACAAATCCATGGATAGAACTGAATCTTTTTGGTTTGATTGATCCTTTGTTAGAACACAAAACCCATTGCTCAGTGAATGTATAGTGAAATACAGAAACAAAAATCCACGGATCCACGGATCATTTAAACAAAATATTTAACTAAGTAAAAAAAATCTATCTCGGAGGTTTCTAGCTTTTATAACAGTTCGGATTAATCACTAGTTGTATGTATTTTTGGCCTCTTTCACATCTTTTTTTCAGACATAAAAGCGAAAATAGAGCATCGGCTGGTTGGGTCAAAAATGTATTATTCAAGAAACAAAAAGTGAGGTAGCCCTGCTTTAAATTCTACCTAAAAACAGGGGGGGAAACGAATGCTAACTATAGCAGACCTCCTGCTCGTCCATGTACTGGTTGTATCGCTGCTCCATCACCTCTCGCTGCCAGCGTTCCTGCTCCAGAGTCTGCTGGATGAGCTGGGCCACTTCGCTCTGCTCCCCCGGCTTCTCCCGACCAATCACAAACCTGGGAAAAGCCATACCGTCAGCAAATTTCAATTACAAGGCATTTAAACCGTTTATAGCCCCACATCGCAGTGACATTTTATCCAGTCGTTAGGTTTATACACAGTTATGATTGAGCTCCTAAAATATGTGGGAGAGGGGATTTTTGTGTTATTTGCCCAACATGACTGCAGCTGTCTTGTGGGGACCGTTCATAGAAAACATTATATCTGCGTATAATAAGTAGACTGCTGTACAGTATTTTTTAATAATGTATTTTAATTCATATTGTTCCTTAATATGAATTATATTGTTATTTAAAATAGATACATTTGACAATAACCATGCAATATCTAATTTGATTACAGAATGGTGGGAAAGGTACTCAAACTAGATTAGTGCAATTTTAGAATTTTATATTGAAGTAATTAAGTTTTGTTCCAAGGTATCACATCATTATGAGGAACTGTCTGGACTGATTCATCATTTAAAGTTGATGCAAAAGCGGTTTTAATGAAAATCAACTGAGAGTTAAAATATACATAAAAGGATCTTATACAATAAAAAGGAAAATGGGAACAAAAGCAAATGATCAAATGATTCAAAAAATTGCTTTTTGTAGAAAGTAGGAAAAGTAAACATGACTTTACTAGAAAAACATTGTAACATACAGTATTTGACTCAAGCGGGAGTGAAAGTAACGTTTCTGAAAACTAGGGCTATAACAAGTTAATCGTTAATCACAAAAAATGATTATTGAAATAGTACTAATTACTATTTTAGTAATCAATAACATATTTTATTTTATTTTAAATATTGACATAAACATGCAGAGGAAAGGTCTTATGAAGATGTTCTCCAGGGAATCACTTGTTTTGGTCAAATATGATAATATTAGTAACATATTAGTAATATAGTATAAAAATCCCATATTCAGTGAGCTTTCCGGATCTAAACTACAAATCGATTATTCGGAAAAGTCATCGTCCAACTAATCTACTGTCAAAATGTCAGTTAAATACAGCCCTACTGAGAAAACTACAAAAAGTGAAATGAATGCAAAGTAACATGTGTGAATGGAACGTGATCCTTCGAGATCAGTGTCGCTCCCAAAGGATTCAGAAATGAACAAATCATACTGAATATTTCAGAATGTATGATCTACACTCACCACTATTGTAAATACACACCAGTAACAAATGTGATGATAAATAATGTGGATAAAGATAAAGTGATAGTGCCCGATCTCACATTCGCTCTCACCAATCAATCATATCAACACATTTTTCCCAAGCAGGAAGTCGCTTTCTGCCATTTACGTCCCAAGAAAGTATTTACATACATAAAGACATACACCAACTTTTGGTCATATCAAAAAGTCTCTCTTATCTCTGCAAACTGAACATTTTCATACCAAGTAAACTGCTTGTAAAAGTATTAAAAGGTCATTGTGAACAAATGTCAGATATTAAATCCAAATTTTAATGAAAAATGGGAGGAATGTGCAGCGTCTCGGAGGACAGACACAAAATGGCTTCCTGTTTTGAGCCGAACAAAGCCAGTCTCTATGGGCCTTTTTGCTTCAAAGATTAAAAACCGCTCTAATCTCAAGCTCTCATAGCTCATAGTGCAAACTTCATTCAACGTCTTAAGCTTTTTGATACTGAGGCACGGTCTAATTACTGGCAAGAAATAAACAGTAAATAGGGAGAAGCTTGTGCAGCCTCATTCTTTGGCCATAGACTGTTATTAAACCAACCGCTGCAACCTTTCAAATCCTCCAGCAGCTCTAGCGGGTAATTAAGCCCTCGCCAGCACACTTCCTGCTTCAGCTCGCTCGTCTAAGTTGTTCTCCGCGCGTTTTTTGTGAATAGGTCAGCACTGTTAAGCCATTCACCGCGGCGGGTTTATAATGCATGAGCTAAACGTGTGGACGGCTGTGATCTCTGTCGGTCACACAACGCTGACCATTGCAGCCTCAATTATGAATGAGGAGATAGTAGGGTATGGTCAGTAGAGCTAAAATGCTGATAAATGCAAGCGTTATTGATTTTTTTTAATACTGATAAATTATGTTAAGTTGTTGTAAGATAATGTATTAGTTAAAGCTGGGGTACCTAACTTTGAAACCCTAAAAATTGACCTATGCTATCTGTAAATCTATCTACCACTCGATTTTTCATGTTTGTGTTTTTGGCCTCGGTCACATTTTTAGATCAGCTTTTTCAGACAGAAAAGTCAACAAGAGAGGACCACCCTCACTCAGCCAATCAGCTCTCTGCATCAAAGCTTCAACTAGTGACTCACAGGGCTTACAAGTGTGCAATACATACAGTGTTTTCTAATGAGATGAAGACTGAAGGCTGTGGTCTGATGTGTTATCACTAAGAAACAAAAATGAGGAATCCCAGCTTTAAACATATTTTTCACGAGTTACAAATAATCTGATGCAGTCACATTTATAATTGCTATTCTGTCATTTTAAAGTTGGGAATGACTCTAATTTCAACAAATGTATCTGCAATCACTTAATTAGTTTGTGTATGTATGGAAATGAGACCAAACAACTGTGGTGTAGAGATAGGTGCTAATTAGCTCAACTTTTAAATGGGGAACTTTGAATTACCTACAAAAATACTGAAAATAGCTATAATTTGCATCCAAGATTGTTTGAATAATTAACAATTGGGTCTGGGAATTATAGTTATAGTTACTGTAGAAAATAACATAATAGCAATAGATAAAAAATATATATATGCGTCCCTGTGTGCATTTGTGCTTGTGTATATTTGGGCCGAGGATTTCTAATCATGTCAAACGTTTTCCCAGATGTAATCTACAGTTGGCAGGATGCTGTGGTGTTGACTTTGGCTGTAGATCAGAAACATTACGGTCTGAGTGGGCGAAGAAATGAATGAACACGTGTTAAGGTCACAACTTTAAGTATATGGGGAGTATTTTTCCATTTCTGAGATAGCAAGAGGCGACCGAGGCTACGTTATGTATTCATCCAGCGGTACTGTTTAAATTGAAGTAGGACAATGACTAGTATTGTCATTTTTTGATAAATTAAAATAGTAATACCGTACACTAGTCGTTCCCAAATATTATAAACCATCCCTGTGGGCCCCAAGTAGAAATTCACACTCAATTCTGAATAAAATGTTATGTCTCTCTTACAAATTATAAACAAAAACGACAAAAAATACCATAAATATTAATGATTTGATTTGGAAAAAGTGGTATTTATGTAGTGATTTTATCAACAATATGTGGTGATGGTTTTAAAGCTGGGGTACCTGAATTCAAACCACAAAAAATGGAATTATGCATTAAAATGTATCTTACTACTCGCTCTCAAAACAGTTTGGTTTAATTATATATCACCGCATTTCTCTGGTATGAATTTTTTTAACCTCTGTCACATCTTGGGATCAGCTTTTTCAGACAGAAAAGTGAAAAAGAGAAGACCTCACTCAGCCACAATCAGCTCTCAGCCCAAAGCATAAAAAAGAAAATATTTTTAGAGAAAGACAGAATGTTTGTGGTTGAATTTTTTGACAAAATGTTACTTCTTTCTTGTGGAACCAGTTGTAACAAGTGTCCCAGCTTTAAAAGCGTTGAAACGACACACAAAGACCACATACTATAGTTTGTGATCCGCTGGAACATAAGGAGAAGGGCGCTCGGAGAAGTTACAAAGTGTGAAATTGTAAAAGAAACGAGAAGAGGCGCTGAAACCCTGACGTGGTGAGAATAATGTGAAGGTATTTTTAGCGGTTCTCACTTGACGGTTCCTGAGGTGTTCCTGAGTACAGAGGCGGCAAAGTTTTGAGTCACTCCCACCAGACTGGTCCCATCCACCTCCACAATCAGATCGTTCACCTGGATCCTAACAGGGAGAGAGAGAGAGAGAGAGAGAGACACGAGGGTTAGCTGGAAATCTATGCGAAATGCACTTGAGAGTCTCTTGAATCAAAGAGATTTAAAGGGTTAAAAAAAACATAAAAAAATTTATAAAAAAATATACTTTATTTTTGAGTTTTTGCCTTTGGAGTTTGATTGGTTGGAAACTTACATAATTCAAAAGCAACAATTATAATGCAAAGGAAAATATTACATTAACTCATCCACTGCCAGCCATATATAAAGAAGCATCCCTCATACTGCCAGAGATTTTGGATATTTTTTAGTGTTTTTCCAAACCTCATATACAGTAAATGTGAGCCCTTGGTTGAAACAAGTATGAAACGTACCAAATGAAAGCTCTGTCAATTGAGAGTATAACATGGGTAACTTAATGCAAAAAAACGTTGACGTCTATAGACATCATTGACAGTGAATGAGTTAAAAAACAAATAAAAGATTGAAAAAAATGATTATAAAATGAAGAAAAATATATATATAAAGGTTTCTATGCATGCTTTTTGTCTATTTATTCATCACCTTATTTATAATTAGTATTGTTAGTATTATTATTATTATTATGCAAAATCTAATTCTCTTCACTATAACATTGCAGTCCCATTAAAAACATACCTAGGGTTATTTTTACCTTACACTAATATCACAAACTTCTTGGCAAACATCCCTGTCCCTTCAGTGAAAATTCTCCTTTTTCAAACTCATTACACTATGACGAAAGTGTACGAAGAGTAGTGAGTAGTGACACCATACTAAATTTCAAACTGGATTTCAATAAGAGAAAAAATACTCGCTTCCACATCAATATTTTGATTACACTGTGATTATTTACAACTGCTCCTTCTGAACATTAAACTGTGACCCTATTATTATTTTGAGTTCCAAAGTATTTTCTGATGTACCAGTAGTTTAAGAATGATCCAAAAAACGCTAACAAAATGCCACATGTTGTCCTTTATAAGTAATTTAATCAATAGCTGCTCAAATGATCTAGTTTTAATAAATAACACGGATTACCACACTATTTCTACCATTCTGATTATCCATGACGACCAATGGAAGTCCCCCCTGGAGTGAGGACCGACCTGCTGTCTCTGTGGGCGGCTCCTCCGTCGGTCACGGTCTTCACAAAGATCCCCAGTTTCTCCAAACCCATGTCTGCCCCCGCTCCCATCCCGATGATGCTGATGCCGAGGCCGTCGCTGTCTGGAACGCAACCACAACCTCATGCTATCGCATCACATTCAGAACACAAAAACACATGAACAATTTCTAGTACGAACCGCTACGATATATATTTTTCGTTGTAAATACTCATTTTAATGAACATTGATACTGAAAAAATACACAAAACAAGACCTTGGAGCTTTCCGTTGGATCATATACTGTTTGATAGTACCACCTAGCTATAATGCTACTAAAAAGTACTTATTTTTGGGCCTGGAAATACAGTATGCATGTTTTTGTTTGTGTCATACCTAGACCAGACCACAGTTTGGTCCAAAGTACAGTAGGAAATGCTACACAAGCTCCTAAATCACAGGACACTTTTTATACAGCGGCTTGGCTTCACTCAAACGTCTCCATACATTTTTCTTACATCATTTTCTTCTATGTATTTCTGCCACTTTATTCCATAATACATAAAAAAATAGAAAATTTAAAAAAGCTAGCGCCTAAAGAGTTCACATACAAGTTGCCTCGCGTCTATTTACCCACTTTATATTGTAGCAAAAGTAACATTTTTAAATCTATATAATTGGTATTTGAGTCTATTCTTATCTAATCATATCTTGACTTTTCTTATTTTATAGCAGAATAAAGGTAATCTTAGTTTATCCCCTATCTAGAATTGAGAGAGTGAAATTTGAATGTTGAGAGAACATTACTGCAAACAAACGTTGGCTGTGACACTTTTATTGCAAATATTTGATAACCACAAGCATGCAGGTCATACTAACACATATTAGATTGCATACTAGCATGACAACACTGCAAAAAAAGACTGTACATTCCGACTGTATTAAAACAGGATTTGCCAATGGACCAAAGCCATTTAGCCTTATTTAAATGACTGTTGAAAAAGCTTGTATCTTTTTGCTTGTCCCATTGATAAATCTTGTTTCAAAGCAGCCAAAATGAGGTCAAGTTAAGATACATTTAGCCAGATTTGAGCAATTTTTAGCTTATTTTTCATCACTTTTTGCAGTAACATATGTGACAATGTGAAATAATGAACCCTTCACAGCCATCCAGAGACTATAGTTTTCATGACACTGCCTTACATCCGTTAGAAATGTTCTCTTGTTGTTTGTGAGGTTCTAAAATTTACAATCATCCAGCGTAATCACAAAATCGATTCGAACGTCGAGCGGAGGCAAGTAAAGTGGCTCAAGAGGAGCGGTGATGTGCGCATTAGTCTCTGCGGCCGTTAAAATCGACGCTGGTTTTCTGCTCCAACTACAACAGATTTATATTTTATGTAGACAGCCGTGAGCACCTTTATCAGTGACTTTCAGTGCGGCCGTAAGTGATTCTCGCCTGTTCTTGCGGATGTGCTGCTGCTCTGTCAACAGATACACGTGACGAGAAAACCCTGACGCATTTCAAGCCATCTCCGAGTTAGTCACTATGGCGACGTAAAGCTGGGGTATCTAACTCTCAAACCACAAAATCAGAAATGTAATATAAAAATCCATCTAACTTGTTCTTAAAATTGTTTCTAGCTCTAGATGTGACGGATATAAAACACAGCAGAACCATCTCTCTCAGCCCAAAATGTCAAATAGTGACTCACGGAGATATTTCTCGTACACGTATGCAAAATATATACATAAAAAATGAAAAAAAGCATGTGGTCTTTTTTGTTCACAGCATTTACTTTTACAAGACGCTTTCTGTCAAAAAAATGTATTGTATGTAAAACAAAAAGTTAGGTTTCCCAGCTTTAAATACAGTACTCTATGATTTAAAGGTGATTCGATCCTGGTTTTAATGGAGGTAACTGCTATTCAGTGTATACCATATGATAAAGAAGTCAGAATAAAAATGTTCTAAGCCTCTCGTCTATATACACAGCCTTCATCAGTCGTGAGTAAAGACACAGACCCAGAGCAGCGACACTGTGACATGTCTGTTAGACTCATGGATAAAAATAGTGTCCATGAAAGAACCTTTTCCTGTCAGATGGATGTTAAAGATGTGCATTTGTATGTAAACATGGGAAGGATTTTTTGAAGCCAATTGTTATGTTTATGTTTGAATTCATTATGACAAAACATCGTATGCATAATCGTTCATATGTCGTGCTGTGTCAGTTGTCCACACATTATTTATACTGCTGTCACTGGCCAAAATTATATATGTAATGTGTGGTCTCCGCCGGCCTGGACTTGTGGGCTTCATCCCCCCGTCCCCGCCAGGCAGCCGCCTTAGTCCTGCACTGCACAGCCTCAGTACTCGTTCTACAGCCTGAGTCCTGGATCTTATAACCTGTCCGTCCATGGAACCGGATCCCTCTCTCTCTCTATGTGGGCCTCCCCGAGTTTTCCCACTTTTTTACAGCTGTATTGTTTTTGTCCTTGCTGATAAAGGAGGATCCGAGGACAGTGACAATCTTGGACATTTATGGACATTGGTCATCCGCTCTCTATGGAAACTATAGACCCATGATCCTTTGTGTTTGCACTATTGCATTTCCTGTGTCCGAACGGTTTGATTCTCTCACTTGTTGTTAGTGAATCGACATCCAGAGTAGTCCCCCGAGATGACGGCTGTTATGATTAAGGGCTTTGCAAGAATAAATTGAATTGAATGTAATACCAGTTGGAGATCACTCACATAAACTAGAGATTGAACCTTTGAATGTAAACATGCCACAAAACCTCAGTCAGCATCTCTCCTTAAAAGCTGAATGTTCTCAAAGCCATTCAGAGCACGCACTGTCTGCCGCTTCCAGTAAAATTAACTGCAGTAATTATTTGTGAGGCAGGTGTTTGAAGAAAGAGCCTTGATGGCAGAATTCTGACAGATACAGATGAGCAAGACGTTTTCTCTGTACTTCAGTGCAAGACTGAGGTTGCACGAGACCTGAACACTTTCGCAAACAAAAGAAGAAGACTGTAAACGTAAGAATGTTCAGGTGATTAAGGAAGAAAAGGACTAGTTTATATTAGTATATGAATTAGGGCGAGACTGTTTGAAGCTCATCATTTGCATCGGTTGAGATTTAGAATATTATGAAGGTATATAGACAAAAGGATTATTGTTATTTAACATGAGTTTTTCTGAACAAAATTAGTTCAGTTTCTATTTATTTGGATTCAACCAAAACATAACCAGGTGTAAAGGTTTGTAATTCTAGACTAATTGGCAATGATTTTTTTTTTTTTTTTACTATTTCATTAATTAATTCATTCATTCATGAAAATGAATGAATGAATGAAGAACTACTCCAAAATTGTGAATTGGGTTTTCCTAACCTAGTGCTCATCCCCATTTTATCAAATATAATTTAAAGGGGCAGTCCATTTAGCCGCATGCTTCTGTTTGCTATGTATTATGTGATATTGATTATTACAAAATAGCAACAAAAAAATTAAATAATAATGCACATCTAATTTAAAATACTGATATTTTCAAATGATTGCCTACTGTGATAAAGACTAACATTATATCCAATTTAAAAAAAGATGAATCTTTATCTAGAAATGAAGTCAAAGTGTGGTACCTTTCTCGAGCTCCACGGGGAACAGGTCCAGCCTCTCCACCCTCTTCTCCAGCTCGTACTCCGCAGACGCCGCCATCGGGTCCACGTCCTCGTTGCGCCTGTCGTAGTCGTCGTTGGGGTAAGTCGCAAACACCTGCAAAGTGAACACACATTGAACCTCAGCTCTGCCTTTATTATGTTACGGGAAACCATCTCGTTTCGACTAATCTGTGGTCTTGGTCAGGTCTACGCATTTCTCACACACAACACAAAACAACAAACAAACACATATTGTAGTTCCAGGCCAAAAATAACAGCATCTTTTGATAGCATAAAGCCTTGGTGGAACTATCAAACAGTTTATGATCCAAAGGAAAAGTCTGAGCTCTTGTTTTTGTGATTTTTCAGTATACACGCTCTGAAATAGACTTTGAAGTCGCCCCACAGAGCTTTACAGTCACTGGCTCTGCTTGTGTTTTTGAATAGAAGCATGTGTTGTTTGACTGAACCAGAAGTATTATCATAATTACATGAGGCAAATGGTATCACTACGCTCACACCACGTTGCGGCTAACATAACATATTTCTTATGTGGTCGGAGAGTAGAGATCTTTAGTTAACAAGATGGCTACTACAATAAGCAAGGCACATTAATATTGTAGCCATAAAATATTTCAAAGGTATTGATTTTGTCAGTGAAGGCAGCCGCAGCTCCTCCTCACACCCCGAGGGACGTATCACTTGACAGCTGTGTGTAGATCAAATCCACAGAAAAATCAATTAGAGCCACTAAAGACGCTCTGATATGGACAGGGAGAACTTCCTACAGTCAATCTGAGGCTCCAGTCGTTTGGAAAAGCATACACAATTCTGAAACTATGCGAGGCACGTGGGCAGCAAGGTATGCGGCCATTTTTACTCATCGAATGAATCGTGGGAAGAAAAAAAAAATGTGTAAAAATGTCGTTCTGCCTAATACAGCTGAAGTAAAGGAGGAAATAACATCCGCCCCATTAATGCATTATTTAAACCAGGATCATGCTAGAATCATATTGGGCAATTGGGAAAAGTGACAACAATTTCTAATTGCTCAAAGAATCGCAACAGAAAAAAATCTTTCTTCTGGGGTCTTGTGTTGTGCTCTGTGGCTGCAGGTGGCTCTGTGCTGCCGGTGCCCTTGGCTGGTATTATCGGCCCTCAGCCTCATTCTCTTATGGTTTTATCATGATAGTGTGTGTGCATGGATCTGTTGGGCGGGCAAGTAGATGGGTCAATGTTTTTAATAACCGTTAAAGCACTTCGGGCCACATGATTTATTGATTGATCGATCAATCTGCTTCTTTATTTTTTCATTTGTTGTCCACCAAAACCCCAATGCTGCTCCGTGATTGGCCTATCTTTGGGACAGTGGTAGTTTTGATCTAGGGCTGCGCCAGAAATCGCAATATCAATTTTGGTAGATTCCGATTGTCAAGACCTGAATTCAAATGGAAAGACACCAATAATCTGGTAATAACAGCAAAAGGGCGACTCATTTATGATAAAAAGAAAAACATTCAGGAGGACATGAAGCAAGTTCCTTACCCAAATACGAAGTTGAATAAAACTACAACATTTGTGCGTTACCATGGATTTCCAGTGTGGCATTACAGTCAGCGACAGTCCTTATATGGGCAGTCCCGGAGCCACTTCCCACACTCTGGTCTGACACTATGGCAGTTTACGTAAGCACCTCCTGCATGCTAATACTGCAGCTGCGACTCTCTCCATCCCAATGCACTCTCAGTTTAAAACCCCTCTTCACTGTGATTCGCATGCACACCTTGTACTCTCCACCAGCCAAACTAATTCAACTCTTTTCTCTCACATTCTTCCCCATTTGCACAACTTCTGCGTAGCATTTAGTGCAAGGGCGTCTGAAATAGTGCTACAGCTATTTTTGCTGGTGTATCGTCGACTTACGCAATATCTGGGAAGATTTTACATGAAGTTCAGAGTACTTATTTATATTTTGACATTTAGGTTTAATGCACATGCAATATAAATATTAAGTTTTTATTTTCTCTTATATTTTTTTGAAAATTTTGTAAAATGTAAGACCATAAATGTGGAGAGTAATGTGTATTTACTAAAACATATTTTTGTAAATACACAAAATGACAGAATAAAACTTTAGATCCATAATTATAGAGTTAGTGTAAGAAATGTATAATACTGTAATAATTACGAGATCACACATTGGAATTGAAAAAAAGTTGCTTTGTTTTTAGCTCACAGTTTGGGGTTTGAGCGCTTTCAAAATCAAATTGAAACTCAAAAAATTAAAAAAACACAAAAAACAGTAACTTCATTGGTCATAGTTTAGAACAGAGGAATCTACAACCTAATCAGATACATAGACTATAAAATCCGATTTAGAAAAACGTTCCTCCGGCCGCCCACCTTCGCCCTTTACTCCATCACAGGTGCCTTTTGGAGAGCTCACTATTCTCTGCGGTGATAGGTGTGAATTGTTACATTTTGCACAATCTCCTTGAGTCATTTTCTCTCCTATTCTTTGCCTTGGGGTTCATCTGTAATAAAGTTGCAGGACTGGGCCCGTCTCCTTAGTAACCCTCAGAAGAAAAAAAAAAAGTCTGTTTTGACTCTATCTTGCGAAACCAACCCAGTCCTGCGCTCATAAATGTATTCACACGATTATTGTATTTTTATGCATCGCTGATCACCCACAAGCTCCTTACACAGAGCCATACTGTGCCGGGAGTGAGACACTTTGTTATGCAAACAGCACAGATCCTTTGAGAGGGAATATTTTTAGACTTATTTATTCAAACAGGTATAACTAGAGGCCTATTGTAATTTGTTGTATTACTGTATTGCAAAACGATGAGTGTGTGTGCATTTAAACCAGGGGTCTCTTCCCAAAATGTCCTCTCAAACAGCTTGAGAAATCAAGAAATTAGTAAATATAGGTGAGGTCAGCTAGTCTATGGGGGGGAGAAATGGATTCCCATGAAAACTAAACTATTATCATTTTACAATAGGGATTTATCTTTTATTAGTCTTAATAATCTTTGGTAAGCAATTTGGACAGCTTTATTTAAAACAAAATATCTTCAGATAAAAAAACATAGACAGATTGCAGATCCTTGGTCTTAACAATATCAGGTGCTAAACTATGGATCGACTTACTAATTTTTAATCATCAATTTAATTGTTTTGCTCCAGAATCAGTATTTTCTAATAGCATCATCTATGATTTCTGCATCTAATTATGAAGTGTTTTTGGCATGCTAGTTGTTGTCAGCATTCTGCAGAGGAGTGATGGCAACACTCTGGCCAATGAAAGTTCAAGAAGATCATCCCAAGGCTTCAATCAGGATTTGAATTTGGTTGCCAAATATTCCACAGTTATATAAAAGAAAAATGAATGAAAATATACGCCAGAAAAAGCCTATTCTGATTTCAAGTTTTCAAGGATAAAGTCAATACTATAAGGGTTAAATAAAATTAGAATTTAACAATGTTCTGGCCTGAATTAATTAAGCCAGAGTAGCTTTAGCATTATTGTTATTTTCCACAAGATATGCAAAAATATACAGTGCAGGACTGATGCACAGATCACGGACATGTATGGTCCAATGGCTCTAATGTGTTCGTCAATATGGCGTTTCCTGTGTTCAAACAGTTTGATTCTCTCATCTGTTGCCGGAGAAACAAAAATGAACATATTTTTTGACGTCAGTAGAAGATTTTACCCTTCTAAATCCACTCATACAACATTTTCTCACATATTTCCCCACTGCAGTGAATCAATGTTATCTTATCTCAAACATTCTGCGAAAGGATTTGGAAAAATATAATAATAATGTAGCCAAAAAATGATTGAATGATTAACTAAAATGCAGATTCAGAGCAGGTTTTCCAATTGTGTGCTAATGGCTTTTGATTTAGGTTACCTTTGTATTCAGAAGGATTAGCAGATGTGGATTACCAATGCATGTAGTACAGTATAGTGACAGTACATCCGTGTATGGGACAGATCGGAAGCCCACCACACACGCACTGGGGGAACTGCTCACGTGGCTCTCCTCATGTCTTAAGGAGGAAGGACACAGCTGGTGGATCTATGGTGCCCTGGTTTTAACATCCCCAGCAGCCAATCCCTCATCCACCAATACACTGCAATGCCTGCATGGAGATGGGTCTTAAGACAAAAACTGCTTTGAAGTTATAATTGCTATCCTGCTAAAAGAGTAACTTGAATTCAAACTTTCCTATATTATCTTATTTGTGTCCCTAAACTAGTTATGTAGCTTGTTGGCATACATAAACAAATCATCATCTGACATAAACATTTAAAATTTACAAGCAAATGTTGTATTTGGTCCGGTCTCACTGGGAGCAGGCCCCAGAGAAGACACAGCTGGCCTGGGAACACCTCAGGATTCCCCAGAGGAGCTGGAGGAAGTGTGTGGTGAGGGAAGTCTCGGCATCTCAACTTAAATAAAGCAGAAGTAAATGGATGGATGGAAGTTGTAACCAAGCAAAGCTACAGTATATGCAAGGCTAGTTACAACTATATATTACTTTCACAAGAATACACAGTACTTTATACATGCTTCTTATTATGCCAAAGATAGAGATTTTATACTGGTTTTTTTCTTCACGCTAGAGTTAGAGATTTTTATTTTCATTTTATTTTATTTATAGAGTTATTGTTCATGATTCTTATTTGTATGGTACTGAAGCTACACAAAATGCTCTATAAAAAAAAAAATCTAATGAATGACATAGAGATCAAGATAAGATAAGAATTCCTTCATTCGTCCCACAGTGGGGAAATTTTTACTATACTAGTAAAAATGAACACGCTTAAATGAACCAAAACAAGGCCACAACACCATATACATTTGTTTTACAGTGTAAGCCTGACTGAATGTAAGCAGGCCTATGTATGCCATGACCCGAGCCCTCTGGCAAAGTTCACATAGACTACTACACGCTAATGATACCGGGACTTAATTAACACTTTCACTTCTAAACATCAGACGGACAGCTTGTTTGCGTATGTGTGGGTTCAACCGGTGCAGCGTACAGAAGAGGATTTATAGGTTAAATTGTGGTCAGGTGCTGCCTCTACTGACAGACCTA